GCTTTTTCCTTTTTAGGTACGCACTAGGCGCAGCGACATGCGTTTGCCAATTTTAAATTTTTTCGGTTAATCAAGAATAACTTTAATTTATAATTAAATAAAAATGTCATGATTTATTAATTAAATAAAGTTATTTTTAAAAAATATTTTATGATTTAAATCTAACAAAATTTTTCTTGTATCAATATCGATCTAATAAAAATTTATTTGATTAATGAATGTTATTAATACTGATTGAAAAAATTTAAAACTAGCAAATATTCTAGGAAGGTGGTAGTTTTTTATTTAATTTATTTTATACAACTATATGGAAAAAAAATACCTTATCTATATAATTAAACTCTTTACATTTTTTATAGACATTCCAAAAACCTTTACATTACTTTGTTTCCTATTTTGACAATAAATATGTGGTTAAAAACAATTTCTCCTTTAAACAAATTTTAATCACACATTCAATCAATTTTATACTCCCTCCGTTCCTTTAAACACTTCCACTTTTGACTTTTGGCTAAAATAAGGAAAGTGAAATTTTGGTTGACTTTCCAATTTTGCCCGTGATGTGATGGATAAAAGTAAGATGTGATAGTTTGGATATTAGTGAAAAAGTATGATGTGATAGGTAGGGTATGAAAAAGTAAGGGTAAAAGTAGTTTTTTAATAAAAAGTGGAAGTGTTTTAGGGAATTCAAAAGAAATGAAAGGGGAAAGGTTTTGTGGAACGGAGGGAGTAGAATTCTCTTGAAGTCTATGAAATCAAAAAGTTCCTCTAGAACTGGCCCAGAAAGTAATTAAGTTGGGAGGTGGTATATGAAACTACTCCTCCGGTTTGATTTTTTTATATTCAGCTAATCTTGGTCAAATTTTCTAAGTTTTGACATCAATATATGAAAAGGATAATGATATATTGTGTTATGATATAAATATTACAACTTACGTCCTAAAAAAATTTCACATTTCTTTTTTTTAAATACTTTGAGTGACTAACAATCTATCTCTCATCTATATCATTTTCTACATGCATTTTTCTTTTCTATAAGTTTTGTGTAAGTCAAACTAGAAACCTGTTTTTAAGACAAAGAAGTAACAGCCAAAATGTTAAAATAGAAATCCTGAAAAAACTCAAATGAGATATAATCTCGATATGATTGACAAAAACTTATTTCTCTCATACGTGAAAGAACCATATGCAAAGGGTGATCTTTTTTTATTGTACGTCGTTACTAAGAGTATATAATAATAAGCTACTCCCGCAAACTGCTTTTATAGAAAAATTTGCCATATGCCTTGGTTACCAAGAAATATTGAATAATGACTGATTATATGAATGACTCTTTGAATCTGGTATTTAGACACAAGTGTTGAATAATGACCAATTATTTTAATGATTATTCAAATCATTTTGTTGTAATGTCTAATTCTACTTGAATTGTGTAATTGGTCATTTTTCTAAAGATAGACATTTTAGAACTTTCAATTGCCAAATGTTAGAGTATATAGAACTAGACCTACTTAAAAAATGAGTAATTTACTTAAATAGCACTAAAACATAATGACTTTCTCTAAATAGCACTAGATGTGTTTTTCTTCCCAATGTAGCACTTTTAGTCATTATGCATTAGTCATTATTCAAGTAAATATTCGTCATCACCGGACATTATGGACATTATTAAGTGATATTTGGAGAATAAAACAGTTTAAGTGCTATTTAGGAAAATGACTTTAAGTTTTAGTGCTATTTAGTGCAAATATTTCTTAAAGAATTAGTGATATATTTAAGTCTTAAATTTCTCTTGTATGTATATTTCTTATATAAATGTAGGGAGTTCCCAATTGGAGAAGGCAAGGTTTTGCAGTTCCTATACAGCAGCAAGAAGGTGCAGAGCAGCAAGGGCGGGTTGCCGGCCGCTCCCGTTTCCGCTCACGTCTTCAACAGGCCAGAGTACAGCGAGATGCTGAAGGGAATGAGGACCCCAAGCTGCAGCCCCAGCGAGGTGATCCACGGCCCTGATTTCCAGGAGTCCCTCTACTGCCACCTCCTCTCCGCCCTCATCTTCCGCCGCCAAATCCAGTTCGTCGCCTCCGTCTTCGCCCACGGCATCATCCTCGCCCTGCGCCGGTTCGAGCAGGTCTGGGAGGAGCTCTGCGCCGACATCCGCACCGGCGTCGTTTCCACCGCGAGGGTCTCTTCCCCCTCCGTTCGAGCCGCCATGTCCAAGCTCCTGCCCGAGCCCGACCCGCAGTCCGCGGACGAGATCTGCCGGGCGTGCCAGGGCCTGATGGAGAAGGGGTGGTCCGGGCTGATCCCTGAGCTGTTCCCCAACGCAAAGTACGTCCACTGCGTCTTGACCGGGACGATGCAGCCCTACGTGAAGAAGATGAGGCATTACGCCGGGGAGACGCCCCTGTTGAGCGCAGACTACGGGGCGTCCGAGGGATGGGTCGGGCTGAACGTGAACCCCAGAGATCCCCCGGAGACCGCCACGTTCGCGGTGGTCCCGAATGTTGCCTATTTCGAATTCATCCCGCTGAAAAATAACGGCTCTCCGGATTCGGATTCGGCCGCGGTGGGCTTAACGGAGGTTAGAGTCGGGGAGGAGTACGAGATCGTGATGACAAACGACACGGGGATGTACCGGTACCGGTTGGGGGACATCGTGAAGGTGCACGGGTTCCACAACAAGACGCCGCTGCTGCGATACGTGTGCAGGAAAAACGTGCTTCTGAATATCGACATCGACAAGAACACGGAGGAGGACCTCCAGCTGTCCGTGGAAGCGGCGGTGGCGAAGCTCTTATCGTCGTCAAACAACAAGACCGAATTGCACGACTTCACGAGCCATATCGACAAGTCGGCGTACCCGGGGCACTACGTCATATTCTGGGAACTGAGCGGGGAGGCAACGGACGACCAGGTTCTGCAGGAGTGCTGCGACTGCATGGACCGTTCCTTCGCGGACATGGGCTACGTGGTCTCGAGGAAGACGAAGACCATCGGGCCGCTGGAGCTCAGGGTGGTGAGGAGTGGGACGTTCGGCAAGATTCTGAGTCACTATGTTGGTCTGGGGACTGCTGCCAACCAGTTCAAGAGTCCCAGGTTTGTTGCCGAGACAAATGGCGCGGTTCTCGGGATACTTGCCGACAACCTCATCAAATCTTTCTTTAGTTCTGCATATGATTGATCGATGATAGTTACTTTGTTTGTTTGCCTTTTTTTTTTTGAATTATTGTTTAAAATAAACCGTACTCCGTATGTGGGGTACGTGATGGATGGCATGAACTTTTGATGTTTTTTTCTAAATATGTACTACGTTTTATTTTTTATTTCAATACTACTTTATAAATAAAATCTGTTTGTTGGAGAAAAGGCTGATGGATCTATTTATTTCAATACTATTTTGGAGAAAAGGCATGAACTTTCAGTACTATTTTTTATTTCAATACCATTTTATAAATAACATGGGCCGGCCCATATAATATATGACACCGGAAGGCAGACGAATCTCGAGATGGCCGGTGCCCCGACTAAGAGTTAGGGTAGCGAGGGGTGGTCGGGGCATACTTAGCTTGAACCAAACGCTTCCAAAGGACGAACAAAATGACGGGCCAAGAACCATTCTGCCTCGAGCCGATTACTTCGAGTCCAACTACCCTCTGTGACATCCGTACGATGCATTTAATGCAAAGATAGGGTATGCAAAGGTAGGCACGAATGGTTCTGATTTGATGATCTGATTGGAATAAGTTATGCTCATGAGGTCATGTTCTGATTAGAATCAAATCAAATTAGAAACAACTTTAAATACTACTATATTAGATCATGGGCATGTTGTTTTATTTTATTTTTGGAAAGGGGAAATCTTTGTTTAGACCATATAAAAACAATTTAAGTTTGTTAATTCCTGAAATTCAATTTTTTCACATTTGATCCTAAAACGTCATTAGGCTTTCTAATTAGATGAGTTGGCATCCAAAGTGCCAACTCTATCAAAATCTACCACTTTAATCAGCTTAGTCGAATCCAAAGTAATCCAAACACTAATTTGAACTCATTCATCTTATTTTAGTATTTTACCAACAAACTGATCAAGTTCGCATAGCCCATCTTCCATTACATCATGGTTTGGTGGTGTTACTCAAGTTTTGAAAGCTAAACCAGACCAGGGACGTTTTGTTGTGATGGCGCGAACGGTGAATGATCGGTATTTTCAACTTCCTCGAGGTGCAGCAGTCGAGAGTCCTCTAATAGTGGTAGCACGGCGGTCAAATACGGTCGTGGGTGGCTGTTGAACGGCGGTCAAATAAGGTCGGTTTTGTTTTCTTTTTTAGGACTTAAGGAGTAATTTTGTTCTTATATACGTAGTATTACGGACTATATGGATATGAAAATTGTTTTTCGTCTTTAGATTTCTCCATACTCAGTTTTGCATTCAATTTAATATCAGATTTTTGCACAGAAGCAACAGAGCAGGGGTTACGCAGATTGGATCGTCTTTGACATTTTGTGGTGAAACAAGAAAAGTATGTTCAAGTTAGAGTTTTGGGAGTCCACAGGGCTAATTAATGTCACTGGATTTTGACGTTAAGTAGGCGCTTTGAGTGCCAACTCATCTAATTAGAAACCCTAGTGACGTTTTAGGACCAAATGGAAAAAAGAATGAATTGCAAGGATGAATATATAACTACAAAAAAAAATATAGGGACCAAAACAAACGCCCCTGTTTTGTACGGGCTATTAGGATATTTTACCCTATTTTGAGTAAAGGTTATTGTAACAATTAAATAAAAAAACAAGTGACACTGTACCTAGTTTTTTTTTTTTTTGCATAATACCTAGTGTTTCTTGAATTTCTTCTAATAGTGAATAAAGACAATAATGTCCCATGTAATATTATCTTATTTGTCGCGTCACATTTCATAGTAATGTAAGACAAAAGTAATAGTACTTGACAATATTTGTGAAAAAACGGTTTAGCCCAGAATTGCATTCCGATGGCAATGACGTCCAAAATACTTTCATTTCTCACAGTGAACTTTTACGGTAAACCGACCACTCTAGCATTAACATTAAATTAGTCTCAATTCATAAAAAAATACAAGAAAAAGATAGAGTACATCAGTTCTTTAGTAGGTGTTTGATAGCTCATATGAGACTTTAATGTTGAAACTTTGTCACGCACGATTATATATATACTATAGATACATTGTTTTAGTTTTTCTTTCACCCCTTAGACCCAAAAGAGAGAGATTGGGAGGCATTAATGCTGTACAATTTTGTCCAGCAAGTATTTCAGAATAGCCTTTGTTCCTCGATCCAAAAT